GACCCGGGCAGCACCAGGGCCCCTGCCGGGGTCCGGCCAGGCGAGGGGCGCCACGGCCGCCAAGAGGAGCGGGCCCGCGCGCCGGGCGTAGGCCGGAAGACAGCTGGGAAGGCGCCCGGCCCTGTTACGTCCGCGGGCTGCGGCCCAGGGAGAGGGCCTGGCTCGGGCGGGCGGAGAACCTGCGCTGCCGCAGAGGCCCTCCCCCTGCGGAGTGCTCGACCCGGCCAGGGAGCGGGCAAGAGAGGCCGTGGAAGTCTGGGAGCTGGGACGAGGTGCCCTCCCCTGGGTTGGGGCGCTGGCCTCTGCGCCAGGAGGAGCCCTGGAACCCTGGGCGCGCCTCGGGGCTGCACCCTGAATCGCAGGGAGGGCCCTGCTCGTCCTCTCTCCCCCAAGCCCCGCCCCCTGCTGGGCGCCCTCCTTGCTCCTGGCAGTTGTAAAATGCGTCTGGCATCGACTAGGGAAGATTAGGGAAGTTCGGAATGTCTTAGTTAAAAAACAAAGTGTTTTTATTTTTTTTTTAAATTTTTTTAAGGTTTTTGCCATAGGGCTGTGAGCTTGCCAGAGAGACAGAGAGAGGGAAAGTGAGAAATCACCTCCCCCACGGCCATGCCACACCGCAACCCTTTCTCCTCCTCTGTTCTCTCAGGATTCTGGGCAGGCTCTAACATGCACCCAGTCTGATTTTCAAGCCACTGGGTCCAGGGCTCAAACCGTGGTTGGCAGTGTGGGAGTTTAGGGCCTTAACCACCACACCACCTGCTGGACCCTGGGATTTCGTTTTTTACTGTGAGAAATATGTGCAAGCTTCACCTCTTTGCCATGTTCAAGGGTGTTCTTCGGTGGCGTTAAGTACATTCACTTTAAAAAAACAAAAACAAAAACAAACCTTCTCTTTAAACAATTTATTTAACTTTCTTTCTTTCTTCTTCTTTTTCTTAATTTCTCTTTTGACCAGAGAGAGAGAAAGAGAGAGAGAGAAAGTGAGGAAGCAAGCTGCCAGGTCTGGGACTCGAACCATGGCGGGGCATGTGGGAGTCCAGTGCCTTTAACCACCACACCATCTGCCAGTCCCAAGTACATCCACATCCTTGTGAAGTCTCACAGCTACCCATTCACAGAACCTTTTCATCTTCCCAAACGAAGTGGAGTTCCCCGTTTCTGACTAAAAAGGTTAATTGAGACTTTACATTATCTTTGAAAAATGAGTTTCTCCCAGGTTACCCCAGAGAGGTTAATTGCTTGTGGCTTGTACTTCTTTTTGGAGGTCCAGCGTGTGAGTGGCCGTGGTCACTGGTCTGTTTCCCGACTCCTGCTCTCTGGAGGACACGCCACAGTGCCAGGTCCTTCAGTTGTTAACGTGCGACCTCAGCCCTGCCCTGCTACCCGAACTCCAGCCACAGCTGAGGCCGGGGCAGCTGAGAAGGCACGCGGGCTCAGGGTCTTTCCTGCCTGGGTAGAGGGTGAGAGGCCTGCGCATGGGCCTAGCTGACCTGCTCCTGAGAGATCCAGGGTCAGGAGGGGACACCGTTGGTGTCACACGGGGGCCGACCAGCTCCTGGGCTGAGGGTATCGGTAGGCGGTAGGGCACCAGGAAGCCTCACCTTCCGCTCAGAAAAGCCTATTCCTTCCTGCCCCTGGGCCTGTGCTAGGAGGTCCGGATTAGCTCAGGCCTGGCCTTTGGCATGCCCGGGACCCAGAGGGCGGGGGTTGGGAGGAAGTGGCTGTGCGAAGATCTGAGCCGAGGGCGGGTGTCTCTCCTATTCCTTCCTGCCCCTGGGCCTGTGCTAGGAGGTCCGGATTAGCTCAGGCCTGGCCTTTGGCATGCCGGACCCAGAGGGCGGGGTTGGGAGGAGGTGGCTGTGCCAAGATCTGAGCCGAGGGCGCGGTGTCTCTCCGTGGGCGTGGCACTGGCACTGCCACTCAGCTGACTCATCCGGTACTTCAGAGTCCTCACCCCTGGCCCTGCCCACCGAAGGCCAGGACCGTCCTGTCATCGCAACATCCCGAAGCCTCTGCGCTTGTCTAGTGAAGGGCTGGGTGTGCCCGCCGTGAGCAGAGGAAGGGCTGGGTGTGCCTGCTGTCTCCAGGCTTCAGGCACATCTGTGCAAGGGGCATGTCACCCTCGTGACCGGTGTGGCTGTCATGGCGGACCAACGTGCTCCCCTCTCTCCTGGAGGGTAGTTTGGTGGGAGCCAAAGGCCCCAGTCCTTGAGGCTCAGCTGCGGGGGTGGGCACTCCCAGGACCCCATCTCCCCCTCTGGCCACTCTGCCCTCACCCTGGCCCGAGGACTCAGCAGGCTGGGAACTGGGAATTGGGAGGTTCACAGGCCACAGGGGGGCAGCAGTGGGCCGAGAATGGCCAGCCCTGGCTTCAGAAAGGACCGGAAACGGACCCCTCTGAGGTCTGGGGAAGGGGACACCTGGCTTCCACTGAAGGCCACCAAGATCTTGGGCTGCCCATCAGGTTCCACGCCCTGCCGATTGTTAACTAGTTTAGGAATTAGTTTCTCCACGGTGGGGAGAAACAGCACCCGGCAGGACGCTGACGCGCGGCCCACGCAGCCTCAGCACCAGGGCCCCAGCGCGTGCTCAGGGAGGGCTCCGGCTCGGACCCAGAGCCTCCCTCCCGGGCCAGCCTCGCAGAGCGTGTGCTTACAGCTGTGCTGCTTCTCTGCAGTGCCCATGTCCGCCACCATCTCGGCTGTCACCTCGGAGCAGGCGACTACCCCCGAGCCTCAGTGTCCCCGTGTGTAGTCCATAGTGACACCCACCACGTAAGCCCGGTCCTTCACTGGGCTAGCGAGGGGGTCAGTGAGGTCTCTGCTCGGGGGGGAGCAAGTCGCCAACTGTGGGGTGCAGCCGGCCCATGGGAACGTGGGCCTCCTGCTGCTGGCCTGGCTTCCCTGGAACGTGGCTGACAGCATGGCCGGCCCCCCTCAGCAGCTCCCGGGGACACCCCGCCAGCCAGTCTGTGGCCAGGCCTCTCCTGCTTAGCCAGGAGGCCACATCCCGAGGCCTGGGGTGACTATTCACTCGGCAGCCCTCAGGCCTCTGTCCTAGGAGGGAGTCCTGAGGCACTGTCACTGCAAGTCCCTTTTGCTGCACCGCCTGGGATGTGCTTGGTTTGTGGTCTGAGAAGTGGGCGCAGTTGCCAGGCCCTGCCTCAAGTTGTCAAGGACCAGCTGGGATGAGATGCAGCGCTGCTTGCCAGACCATGGCCTTGCCTGCTCTGGGAGTGGGGAGGAGAGAGGGGATTAGAACCGTGGGCGCTGGCTGGCACCTGAGCGTTCTGGGGTCTCGGCGAGGTCTTGGCGCTGACCCTCGCTGAGCCACAGTCCCTGCGGTATCTCGTCCCGTCCTACAGACGAGGCGCGGGTCGCGATTTCTAAGACGGCCGCAGGGAGAGCTGGTACCCACACTTCCCTTAAACTGCGCTGCAGACCCCTTTCCCACTGAGAGGTGGTCTGTCTCCTTCCCCTCGAACAGAGCGAACCCCTGACTGGCAGAAAACAACAGGATATGACCTCTGAGGCTTGGCCATAAAAGGGGACACACGCCCCCGGCTCAGTAGCTGTGCAGCAAGGTAGCCCAGGCCACTGGCAGCCAGCATGCACCCCTGCAGCTGGGCGTGCTCGGGGGAGACCTCCAGCTGCACCCGTTATCCAGGGCTGCAGGAGGGAATGGGTGCCTCCCTGTG